GATTGTAAAAACACACGAATAAGCCATTTTAATAAATCAACTATCAGACAATGTTCCACAATTAACAATGAACAGCTCAGCCATTCACCCGCAACCCGGACTCGAGGATTGGCCATTGCACCACTTGGGAGAGGTCAACGAGCCGCCAAAGGACGGCTCCTTCCACGACGATCGGACGGCCATTTGACGTAAATACGAGCCGCCTCGCCATGGGAGCCTCAGAAGTGTTTTTGGCTGCGTATTTGATACCTGCAACAATAATATTCACGATTACTGTTTTGTACACTAAACTTATACACGTTGAAATTACAAAAAACTTACTTTATTTTTGTCTTTGAGAGTTTCTTTTCATTTTTAAAACCTTCAATACCATCTTCAACCTTTTGTGTACAAGTACTCAAAGGCCACGAACTTGCGAGAACTTTACACTGGCGCAGTCGGTAGGATTCGAACCTACGCTCCCAGAGGGAATCTGATTTCACTGGTAATTCCTGGTAATTTTGAGAATGAAAAAGATCCATATTAGACCCAACTCAAAGAATTTCATATTATTTTACTGAAAAACACGATGACACAATAGATAGTGTTTAAATGCTTTAAACATTTAAAAAATAAAATAGTGAAGATCAGAAAGGGGTTTAGGATTCTAAAAACTTTAAGACTTAAAATTAGTGCTTTATTAATTTTTTTTTATTTCACAAAAACATAAATGTAGGTTTTTTTAAAAACACTAATTTTAAGTTAAAAGGCTTTTTAATCCCAGGCCTCACCCCTGATCTCCACCAATGTGTTAATCTAACCTTATCTTTAAATATTTGTATTAACAATTTCTTTGGTGGCTGTTCTTAAAGGCCTATGCTTTTAATAGAGTGACGCTATGCGCCCACTCTTCTCTGCCAATCTAATGATCTCATATAAGAGTTACGATGTATATAATACTTTAATATATTATTGAACAAAAGTTACTTATCTATACTAAAAGACAATAGTAGCAAGTATATAATATAATGTATTGTTGTTTATTAAATATAAGTAGAATATACAAATATAATATTTAGTACAAAAATTAATTTACAATATTTTATTACACAGTGTATATCAATTATTTGTATTATTAAAAAGTGACAAAATGATATTTACTTATGACTATATTTTTGGTTTTTAATTTTCTCATTAAAAAATCAGTGTAATAAGTAAGAGTACTAATTATTTATTATTATTACTGTCTAAAAAATTATTCTAATGGTATACCTAGAGCTTTATCCTATACAAATTTCACAAAACTCTGAAGTCAAACTTTTTATTTTTTATTTATTAAAGGAACAACCAAAAAAGAAGGAAAATTACATTTGGACCGTAGTCAATTTCTAGGTTGCGATGCGTGAGTTAATCAACAGTCAACAGGTATTTGTTAACAAAATATTTTCATACATTTACAATGTATAGATAACAACGGTAGCTACTTATTATAGAGATGACAATAAGCCCTAATCGTATCCTCTATAGTACATAAAATATAATGTGAATTACGTTATAACTTTTACAATTAAATATGTAAGTTCCCATTTAAGATTCAAAAGTTGATAGTGCTGTGGAAAAAAATAAAAAAAGGTATGAATTTGAATATTGTCTTATATTGTAAGGTAACATAATATTAAACTAAAATGTTTTCAAAAAGAAAAGCTATGAAATTGTATTTATTTGACACGAGGTAAACAAGATCTTCAGAATTTCATGTCTCGTTGGATTTCTTATGGTAAATTAAAAATATAAAAATATTACTAATGTAAACCATTGTTTGATTTTTATTACACAATAATAATTTATGTTGAAAATATTATTTTATAAAAAATTTTATTATTGTCTAATATTGTAAAATAACAATGTCCGAAAAGAAATACCATACAGTTTTGATTTTAGGAAAAAACGAGTGTCTTGTCCTTAATTGAATCACTAAGTATTTAAACACATATCAAGAAATTTTCTACCTCGTGAACGACTAGAAGACATATATTTTTTTCCTAATTGAATACAAGAAAACTATTAGAGTTTGTTCAAAAGTTGTGGAGGGTTTATTGCATACGTTGAATGAATCGAACAATCGACTAAGTTATTTCATCTACTTCTGTATTAAATTATTTAGGTTAAATCCTTAATAAAGTTTGAAAAATAAATTTTTTTGGATATAAAATTTTTTTAATTCTCTCTTTCTTAGGAAAAATCAAAATATAGTCGTATAAAGATGAAGCATAGAAAATATAACTAAGCACCTTATTAAATTATTGTGATGAAAAAAAAAGTATTAAAGCATAGTAACTTGTTTTATGTGTCTTGGGTAGCATTTAGCATTAATAAGTAAGAAAGGTTATTATTATTTTTTATTTCTATAGAAAATAAACGTCTGCAAGGGCACAGAGTACAATTAAAGATATTTTCAGTAATCAAGAATTGATAATAATAATATATCAAAAGGATACAATTATGAACAAATTTAAAATTTACAACTGGCACAACCATTGACTACTAAAATATAATTGTTTTTTAAAACGAACGTCCTAAAGGATCAAGTACAGTTAATAAAGTGAGTGCTTATTTCTAGATGTTACAAAAGTAAAAAATATATCTAATATATACAAAAATTAAATACAAAATTCCATATTATACATCCATACTCCAATATAGGACGAACCAAAGCACAAAAAATAATTTTATGGCATAGTACTTTGATAAAAGATTCTATTAAAAAACCTAGTGCTTTACAATTAAAAACAAAAGTAATAGTTTTTTAATACTCGTAGTTTAAAACAATGTGTTGGAAGTTGAATCAATACAAGACATAATAGAAGCATATTATACATAAATGTATACCGAATATGGTACTAAGAAGACTCAGGAATCGAAGATAATCATTGGGTTTTTCTATGTTTAACGCCAAACGATCAACCGTGGCATAATAAGTGTACCCAAAAGTATTGCAGTTTTATTTTGGTAGTCATATATCACCTGTAAAAAATTAAAATTATGTAATTATTAAAAATTAAAGGTAACATTTGACTTTTTATGTGGGTTATTGGCAAAATAAATCTGAACAAAAAAGTACGAGTTCTGATTAAGTGTGCTTAAGGTTTTTACTATTTTTTAAATTTAATTAGGCAACTTTGTTTTTTATAGTAGCGTGAAAACTTTTTTTTAAAAAGTATTAATTCTGTGTCGAAAAATATTTGTAAGTTACTAACGATATTAACGGTTGTAATAGCTATTTAGGAGCTTGTAGTAAGAAAAGAAATTATATAATATTTAACAAAACAATAACAGTTATCTGCTTAATTTATTTAGTAATTTCATAATTTTTTTTTCTCAAAAAAGCCATCCTAATGGGTTTGACTTATTGTGAAACTAGAGAGTTAAAGTGTTTAATAAAATCACTCAAAAAACGATTTGATGCCAGTCTATTCTATGTATGCAGGAAAATCTATTATCATCTATTATAATCTATTACCTGATGTTTTGATTTTTCTCAATAAAAAGTTTGACTACAAATTTTGTATTTTTACAATTTTATAACATTTCTAAGTTTTAATTTATATGAGACAAACAATATGTTATTTTAATAATGTTTTACCTAGATTCCGAAAGGATGGGTTTTTTTTTCATAATATTTGGATTTCTAATTTATAGATTTGGTATAAAAAAAAAATAGGTCCAAAAGTTTAAAATTTATTGTGGGTCAAAACACACAATTATAAAATAGGGTTAAATCAAATTTAAATAAACAATTGAATGCTAAACTGTAAATAGTAAAATTTAGTATTTGTTTAAGTGGTGTTTATCGTATAACTATAATTTTATCGTATAAATATTGTTTTTACAATGATGGGTCTTTATTTTGTGCCTGGACCGCGAAATTTCCTAAACCGCTAATTCGACTTCTTTATGCATTAAATTTATATATCAAAAAGCCTGTACAGTGAGGTCTATGCTGCACTACTGGACCTCATTTTGGTATGTTATTACTGTGTTTGGTTTAAAATGTACTGGTTTAGACTATACTTGCTTAGAATTCTTAATATCCCCTTATTCATATCGAAGTGTTAATTTAAAAATTGATTATATCAGTTTCAGTTATAATAACTCCTGTAAACATGTGACCTCCCTTGTCTATGCTATGCTTTGTCCCCAAAAAATTGGTGTCTAAGACATCGATTGCCACAATATATAATCTTATTTGATGAGAGCTTAAACTTCTCAAATGAAGACGAATAACAAATAATAAATCAAAATAAATTTAAATTTATAATATTATACAATAATAATGAAAATAAAATTGGCACCTATACATTACATAATATATTATTATTTATCTAATTATTGTTACTATATATTATGAAATCTGACTTTGTAAAATTGTATACATATACTTAAGCTAACTGACTTGTAAGAGCATGCAATATGCTGAGACATTTTAATAGAAATTTTAAAAAAAGAACTACCTTAAAATTGTTTAAAAAATTATCAAAATTTGCAATAATTTTTGTATAGGAGAAAATATAAGTTTTACATTAATCTCATTTCAACAAAAAAATTGCATTAAAGGTTCAAACTAAATTTATCAAATAACGCTATTAATAATATGTTTTGTAATAATATTGTTCCACATTGATGAAATTATGGCAAAAAGCTTGTGTAGACAATCCATTTTACCCCAATAACAAAATTCAACGCAGATAGTGCAATTTCAAAATTACATTGACAAAATCAAAGGGTTTTCGATGGAAACTGCTATAACATACTACACCTCTAATAGTATGATATAGGCTTTAAAATCAGAGAAATTACCCTTTCAACCCGTTTTTAATCAACGTTGCGCCGTGATTGGTAAATAGCGCTGAACGTCACTATTTCATGAGCTTTTCCAGTAGGAACAGTCGCGACCGTAGTTTCCCGGTGGCTTGATCAAACGTTCTCGGTTCTCGCATACATTAGTGTCTCTAACGCCAAAAATGTCAATAGAATCCAGTGAACCTGGTTCAGTGTTTAACCTGCAACGCAATCAGATTACCGAACATCGCCAGGTTAGTACATTATATTTTTACTTTTTAATGTTTATAATATTTGAAATACTTAATAATTTAATCACATCTATTAACAGAAAAGAAAACGAACCACATATACGTTACATCAGCTTAATAAACTAGAAGAACTATTCAATACTACGCGGTACCCAAATGAAATACTAAGACAACAACTGGCTGAAACTATTGAAATTGACCCATATCGTGTAAAGGTCAGTTATAACTTTTATTTATTTAAGTAAGTTGTTTACTTCTTGTGTTAAAAAAATAGTTTACACTAACTTAATTGAAAAATGTTGCACAGTGTAGATAAATTACGTTTCATTATTATACGGATCTTGTGTGTGCAATAACAAAAATATTATCCAGTCAAATTTGTTAGAAATTCGAGTTCTTCAACTTCTTGTGTAGCAGTCCTTCGGTTACAAGCTTCATACTTGTAAAAACTATTAAAATATATATAATGAGTAAAAAAACTCTTTTAATAATTTATTATTTTAAACTTTACTAGAATACTATTACTATAAGATATACTTACAGTATATTATAGTTACAGTATTAGTCATAGATAATAGACTGGGACAAAAAAACAAACAACTTTTTTTTGAACGGCACTATGAAAATATTGTTCATGATGATAAAAAAATGATGGTGAAAGTTAGAGCCCTTAATATTAACATTCAGATACCTATCATGACGACTGACGGGTTTTTACACTAATGGCATTTTTTTTTTTTCTAAAACTCGTAAGTTATTGGCCTGAAAAATTCTATTGATACATATTCCTAAAGAAAATTGAGTTTCCTACAAAAAAACTATCTATGTAAATTTTCCTCAAACAAGCTGTTTTTATCGAAATCGCACCTTAAACATTTAACGGTTTTTTCAGTTTGAATTTTTGTAACTACCACAAATATCAATATTTAAAAGGCTTGTTTGACGAAAATTTACAAAGATAGCTTTTTTTAGCTAAAAGAAATATATCTTAACTTAAAAAAAAACAAGTTTTATGTACTTTCGTTGATATAGTAAAAAAAACCTTTGTGAGTATTTTTGTTAGACTATATAATAGTAGCTTATTTCCAAAACTAATTATCAACCCTTTTTAAAATTTTGGGAGAATAAGAAAAAAAACTGTTTAAAACGTCTAAAACAATCATAGATATAATTTGTTTATTAATCTACATACATTTTAAGTTATTTTTCTGACAAAGTTTCAAATCAAACACTTTAAGGCTTTAAGCCAAATGAAAATATTTAAGAAAAATTATTTCAGATAATTAGTATTAGCACTCAAATGTGTGCATATTATTAATTACTAGATTAAAGTGGGTTATTTCCGAGGAAAAATATCATTACGATTTTATTCATGTTATCAACTACAACTTGGTAAACAAATATAATAAAGTATTTTCGTTTTTTTAAATTTAAATGATTACCAACTTTAAAATTAAATTATAATATCAATTTCCCAGGTGTGCAGGTCTCCTTTTTATATTCCCCACCACCCATTAGACGAATGATGACTTTTGTCAATGCGGATCCTTCCTTTTTATTACCTGTTTTTAACTCATAATTTTTAAGATCATAATATGTGAGTATCTATTGGTTAAATTTCTCATTTCTTATTTGTAATTCTATACTTAAGGGTTTAATATATAATTATGTAAACAAGGGCGCCCATATACATTAAAACAAATAAATAATAGTTTTGGAAATAAATTTACAAATAAAGTTAAACTTTATTAGGGAAATAATGAGTTTTGGAAGTATATTTAAAGACCAAATTAAAACAATATATTATTAAAAAACTTTAACATAATATCAGTATTAAGTTTTTGAAAATAAGCTACTTTATTATGATAAACTATGTTAAAAATAGGGTAAGCCATCTTCTGGTAAATAACATGTTTCTTAAATGTGTGTTTACTTTTTGACTTGTGTCACTTAACAAACACATGTCGACTGCCCCAACGAAAAGGGTCGTATCTCGTTTTTTGCAACTTTTCAGGATAAACCAAAAAAACATTCAAATTTAAATTCTTATTCTGTTTTTAACATATCAATTTGAAAATTTGGATACATGTTATAGCATGTTATCCAAATTTTCCAAGTTAAAAACAGAATAAGAATTTAATTTTGAATGTTTGTTTGGTTCATCCTGAAAAGTTTCAAAAAACGATGTACGACCCTTTTCGTTGGGGCAGTCGATGTGTAAATTTCAGTTTTCTTTACTGTTTGTACATTTAACTGTCGTTACATTATTTTACGCCTTTCGTCTCATTGTGCACTAACATTTTTATACTACACATGGCACATATTACAGTAGTATTCTAATTTATGCCACTTTGAACTTAAATAATCACACTTAGCTTAGTCTTCACTTCCTCATCGTCACATAATATCTATATTTTCCAAACTAAGTTGTTCAGTACCTCATAGAGTTTCTCAGGGAATCAACCCCGTGTAAACTCAATTTACCTAAGAGTACTTACATACACCAGCACTTTGAAAAAAAAATGATTAAATTAAAATCTAAATTTTATAATTCAAAAAATGTTTAGTAATAATTAATAAAAGCCCAATCCCACTTAATATTATAAAAAAAAAATGTATAGATTAACTAAAACAGTATCTATCTATTTCATTTGTAAAATACCGTGTATTGTTAAAGTTTTCGACGAAATATTACCGGGGGATTTAGCTTTCAACCCCCCTAACCTCTGAATTTTGGATATGAAAGTCGAAAGTTTGATTGTACAACTTTTTGTTACTTAGATTTGGTTTCAAAACCGAAGAGCAAGGCTGCGTAATGATTTGAATCTACAAAATTACCACAACAAGTTGCAGAACTGGCGAATGAATAATATTGAAGCGCAAGCCGATTTAAGAGGTAACCTCGTCAACATTTAATTTTAATAATTTCAATAAAATAATTATGTTAACTAAAATTTTACCTTCCTAGAGGAGCAAGAAGAGCAGACAAATATAAGTGTATACTTAAATAACTTCTATGAGCCCAGAAACGTTGAGTATCCAATTTATTTTGCGTTATAATGTATAACCTTTAATCATTTTCTAAGTTAGTTAGTTATTAATATAATTTATAACATTAAACCATACTTAACAATGATTTTTTTGTCTGTAACCGCTGTAACTTATTTTTATGTTATTCATTAATTGTTTACAAAAAGGTGTGATATTTTTTTAAACACAAAACAAAAAAATTGTTATAAAACACTAAGTATTATGATTAATAGTTTTAGTAGTAGGATGAAATGTATGCCTAACTATTTATGTTTTAAAAGTAGCTATCAAAAAAACTAATTTGCGATGGGAGTAAAAAGAATTTCTTATTAAAATTCCCTTGTTCAAAATGAAAGAACATTAACTAGGTTCTTCAGTCGTTTTTTTAGAAAACATTAATTTTTCCTTAAACAAGCACTTAAAAAAGTAAAAAAAGGCAGTATTCAAATATAAATTTTGAATGTTGGTTTAACAATTTAAAAAAAAACTGACGAGAGAACCTATAAATAAAGATCTCATTATTTTAAATATGATAAAAATGTATTCTACGATTATTATTTAATCAATATTAGAGACTATGCATAGCTATGTTTCGATGCAACTTTTTTTTAAATATCTGTCAAAGATGCTGTGATAGACAGAAAAAAATTCCTAATTACTGAACTAATAATTAGACATCATAGTTAAACCTTTAAATTAAGATTTTGTAACTCCTTAATAAGACTGGAAGTAGTACCTTATATGTACTTTCTAATGTCAAACATGAAACAATTTGTTTCTTTGCCATCAAGAGCATAAACAATATTTTAAATATGTACACTTTTTCCATTTTAACTTTACGTCAGGATAAAACCTTTTTAAAAATCAACCAATTACTTTTGAATTTGGGTGTCTTTTTCTATAGTATATTTTATACTATTACCAATATACAGAGACAATAATATTAAGCCTTTCATCCAGTGAAGGTTTTATTCTTAATCTTTTGGTTTGGTTTAATGTCTTCAGCTCTAAAATCTAGACTGAATCTTAATCAACTGAATACAGCTGGTTAAACATTTTTTTTTTAAGTTTGAGTATAGATGACCAATAAAATCATTTGTTATGTCATTTTATAAAATGTTAGAGCACTCAATATTTAAAAATTGTGTGTATCATTTTTAAAGATATAATTCAAAGATATTTTCACTGAGCTAAATTCTTTCTTCATAGCTGACATTATCAAAAGTTGTTTAGGTTTTGTTATAAAAACATAACAGAACGAGATGGAATTACTTTTATGATAATGTAAGTGCCTTTTTGGTTAATATCAATCAAGTTCTTTTAAATATAATATAATTATATGTGTAATAATTACATGAAAGTGTTCAAAATTAAAAAAACATGTTTTGTAGCTCATGGTAGAATAGTAAAAATTAGTTCAGCAGTATGCATAAAGTTGAAGATGCTAGTACATTTTTATTTTCATAGCCAAAAATATCGTTATTGAAAATAAATTAGGAGAGTAAAAAAAAAACCTCTACTCAAAGTATAAGAATTTTAAATTCTATACCCACTCTAAAAGAAAAATAAAATCATACATTATAGAAGTCGGTTGCAATTACATTTTGTAATTAGACCTTCTATTCGTCTTTGTCATTGCCGTTGCACCAGTGGAACGAATTTTTAGTGTTGGTAGTGTGGTATAATCTAAAAAAAGACGGAATATTAGTGACAAGAACTAAAATTTAGATTACTTAAATATGATAAATAGTTTTGTACTGCATTTCAAACAGACAACTTTCATGCAAATAATTTCAATTTTAATTATTAAATTAATAAGGTAAAAGTAGATGAAAATTATTTGGTAATGAGGAACCTTTATTGACCATTAGGGAAAAACAGTCAACACCTTTTTATAAATAGATCAAGGGTTAGAGATGGTTAAAATTTGTTTTATTTTAAACAAGCGACACAAAGCATATGACTAAAATTTAATATCGGCTCAAATTTAGTGCGGAAAAACGACCACTTTTTCTGAAGCAATTAAATATGCAACGCTACAACACCGTGTTTGTACTGCCATCAGACAAAGTAAGGTCGTAACAGAATAAACAGAACGTTTAAATTAAAATCAAAAAAGCAATAATTGTCGTCACTGTAGCGTAATTTTATACAAAGCAGTTTTATTGAGCGCATTTAATGTATTCTAATATTATTGATAAGCAAACATTCATGTATATTGGATATGCAAAAACAAAGTAGTCACGTTTAGTAATGATATTCATTGCTTAATCTATATTTGAATATACACACTATAAATCAAAGTTCACATTATGAATAAAACATTTTTCTGTACAGAGAGCTTTTAATTTACAACATTTATTGTAAACTAGTAACTTTTTCTATGAAATATTTGTTGTAAAAGTTTTTCTAGGGGTAGTTTTAGAGCATAACAGTTATAATATATTGTCTTGTAAAAGGATACATTTAAAAAGTATTTTAACCCATTGGTACATTCTGACTAAAACATTAATAAAAAAACGTATTTAAAATAAAGTCTTAAAATAAGACAGAGTTTCCTGATGTACACTTAGGTAGTTGTTTAAGTTTTAAATGCTAACTTTTAGGTATTGTACATATTTTATTTTAACAAACGATCAATTTTTATGATATGGTTTTCAGGTAACAGTTTTTCTATAACCCTATTTACCTACCGCAGAAAAACAGTAAAAGGGATTTTCATTCCCTTAAATTAATAATTCTCCTAGAATAGATTTTAAATAAACCAAAGAGGCCTTGAAAAATACAATTTAATTAAATAGACTTTTTTTTGGAACCAAGGCGCAACAAATAATTTTGAGTAAATTAATTTTGGTGTAGTCACTCTCCTACTTTTTTACTCTGCTTTTTCTTATATATTTTCAATACATAAAGGAGAATATATTCAAAAGTATTGAAATGCTTGAACAAATATTTTATTACAAGTATTTAAACAGAATCATAATTTTATAGAAGAAACAAGTATAAAATCAATGTATTTGTGGTTAAAAACATTGATCATCAAACTAATTTCAACAAATATGTGTTTCATATTAATCGTTCAGTTGTACCTTTGCATTAAAAAAATTTAGTTTGTAATGTTTATAATGTTAAACCTATATTCTATAATAATTTTTTTAGTTAATTAGTTATTAAATATAATTTATAACATTAAACCATACTTTATAATGATTGTTTTTTCTGTAACCACTTTAACTTTTTTTATGTTATTCATTAATGGTTTACAAAAAGGTGTGATATTTTTTAAAATTAAAAACGAAAAACTGTTATAAAACACTAAGTATCAAGATTAATGTTTTGGTAGTAGTCCACTCTGAAACAAAACAAAATCATACATTTTAAAAGTCGATTGCAATTACATTTCGTAATTAGACCTGTCTGTCGTTGCCGTTGTAATTGCCGTTGCATCAGTGGAACGAATTTTTAGTGTTGGTAATGCGGTATAATCTAAAAAAAAGACGGAATATTAATGACAAGAACTAAAATTTAGATTACTTAAATATGATAAATAATTTTATATTGCATTTCAAACAAACAATTTTCATGCAAATGATTTCAATTTTAATTATTGAATTAATAAGGTAAAAGTAGATGAAAATTATTTGGTATTGAGGAACCTTAATTGACTATTAGGGAATAATAGCCAACACCTATATATTTAGAGGCCAAGGTTTAAGGGTGTCTAAAATTTATTTTATTTTAAATAAGCGACATAAATCATATGACTAAAATTTAGTTTAAAATAAAAAAAAATACCCAGACAGTTTACATATCATAACTTGAAATTATGATGCGCTATAACGTTTTAGTTTAAAAATAGTCGAATGTTTATAAATTTGTATGGAAAGTTTTTTAAACATAGTTTTATGAATAGGTATACTTTAATAAACTAAAAAAAGTATACAAATCCATTCTATTCTCACTCTATTAGGTGTAGTTTATGGCTTTCAGACCTGAAAATTAGTCTAAATATAATTTAGCGAAGGGGGGGGGGTATAATATATTTAATTTTCTCAAAAACGTGTGGTCTATATTATTTTTTATTAAAGAAATACAAAAAAAAGAGTTATAATAACTCTTGAATCCCTATGATCTCCAACTATCCAAGATGTACCGTTTCCATTATGCAGTGGTTCGAAATCACTGTTTTTTTTTAAATACCCATTTTTTACACGATACTCTCCAACAAAAAAACTAATATTTATGGGGTTTTGGCCAAATATTTCAGATTTTAAACCACTGTGTCGATCCCACTAAGCTGTTTATTAATAAAAAACATTTTGATTGCAATAAGACAATAATAAAATTATAATTACATTAAGACAATTATAAATGTTATAGTCCCACTCTCAACCATATTTTATAACGAATAAAAAGTTGTTAATTAATTTAACAATTCAATTATAGTATCTTAGCTTCAATTTCAGGAAGAGTAGGTATTGGCTTTATAGTTATGTGTTTTAGCTTTGGGACGGAGCTAAGATGGTATTGGTAATACAACGATGTGTTATACGTTTTGTTTTGTTTTTTTTTGTGTAGAACACACATTGGGAGTTAGTATTAGAGTGAATACATGATTGGTAGATCGGCTGTCAATAACATTATGTTACCGTTGTTTCCCATAAGTCGTAATTGACTACCTGTTGTGTTCACTCTTATAGAGCAACCTAGTAGTATACTATAGTACCTAACCTAACCTAACCTAGTAGTATACTATAGTCAAAGTGTATTTTTCTTCTTTTTTGGACTTTCCTTATATCTCCAAAGGATCTATTCAGTCTAATTATCAGTCCTCGAATCTTAACACTAACCTTAAACATGTAAAAAAAGCTATGGTTTCCACATCTTCTAGGAGTAAGGGTTTATGATTTTTTTTGCCTATTCATAATATGTTAAAAAAAAAATTAACATTCCATAATAATATGGATTAAAAACTTCAAAAAGAAAAATTACAAAATTATAAGTTCCACTAAATCCACATCTTGTTAGGTTGACAAATTATTCCCTTAATCATAAAGAATTTTGAATTCTCTGAAATACTTGTAATTTCTTAATTATTCCGGACTATGAATTGACAGCAAATACTCCATTTGATAACTACAATAGTTGAAATGAGCAGCTATAAGATTGGTTGCTATAAATAAATACTTCCTGAGGGAAGAAAAAAAAAGTTAAAATTTTACAATAACCAATTATTATGTATATACTCACCAAACACGACTATTCTAATTAAAAAAAAGATGACTTGTAGCCACTCAGCAAATTTCACAAAAATTGTTCGCTGTAAATTATGGTGTTCGTTAAAAAAATACAAAAATTAATAATTATTTTAATCATCATTATTTATGGCTATGCTTACCACGAAAGATTATTAAATTTGAAACAGAAGATATGTTGCTAGTCAGCGAAACTTGCAAGAATCGGTTGCCATTATTCAAGTTTCCTAAAGTAAGGTAAAACAATTATTATTTTAAAATTATCAGTTATTTTGTTTATACTAACTATAACTACAACTGTCTAAATCCAGGAATAAGAAATGTTGTATTTCAGCAGGACCCCCAAGAATTGACGGCTGTAAATGAGGTTCCTGCAAAAACAAAAAAATAATAACGTATTATTTACGGTCATGAGGTTTTTGTCATTATACTAGTCAAAAAATGATAAATTTGAACTTTTACATTATAATTTATAAATCTCATCTTTCGACTTTTAATAGCTGCGTGTATTAACAAAATATCTATAGCTGTTTTAATTATAACTTAAAATAAAAATCTATTAAAAAAATTAGCACTGTGTAAACCTGCATATTCTAAACCAATCACAGTCCAAACTAAGCATTGTTTCAACCAAAACTGACTGTCTTCATATTGTCTTTAAATTTTATTCATTTTTTTGAACCGAATGGTATATAAATATAACGGTGGTTTCACCGCACTTCACTAACCTCTTATAATATGATGGATAAGAATTAAAATAATCAAATATTTAAAAAAGTTTAGGCCAAATCTGTTGTAATCCCCGACAATGATAACATTGCTACCAAAATATGCGTATACAATAAAATGCATTTTGTTTTGTAGTTTAGGATTTTTGAAATATTTGATTTTTTCTTAATAACTATAATAACTATAGTTGCTTAGCTGTTTTTTAGATAATAACATAATATTTCTTATTTTCTAAGTCACATTAATGATGTGAATACAAATAAAATGTCTCGATTTTATGTTTTCTTGGGAACTACTAACCACACAAATATATTGAACAAAATTATTTTTACTAATTATTTAATAATAAATGTAAATATTGAAGTAACCATATTCTGCTGATTTGTCCGAATGATATTTATTAATATTGGTCAGGTTAGGTTTACTATCAATCAAACTTAATAATTCTTCGAATTAAAAAAAACGAAAAACTTATTCTAAAAAATATGAATGAAACTACTACCATTGTGTAATCATAATTGCCGAAATAATAATACATTTTATTTTGAATTTTTAACATGGTTCGCATAATTCAAGGCATAAAAATAAAAAAATATTTTTAATTAAAAATCAGTTTTAAAATACAAATTAACATATATTATAAACAATTTCTCTTAAAAACCAAAAGTAACTAAAAAAGACTAATAACATTTTATAACAAAAAATAGTAATAATATTGTTTACCATATTGCATGTGTAGTTTATGAAAATTAAAAAATACATTATAAAAATGTAAAAACTAAACAATTCATGTGACCGTCGAAAAATTAAATGGAAAAAGAACACTTATGTTATTGATCTATTAAACGATAGTAATAAATAAAAAATTATAAGAAAATTAATAAAAATATATTAAATCTGAATTAAATCATTAGTAAAAAAAATGATAAAATAATAACAAATAGATTTTAAAAAACTATTTTTAAAACTGCCAAACAGTCACGTGAGGTGTATGAAACTATGAGCCGTGTGTTTTTGCTTGGTGACTTTTCAGAGTATCTTGGCGACCATATGATTAATTTCCACACACTTCAATTTAAGTACATGTTTGTTCATTTTAGTCAAGAATAAAATGTCAATTTATATGAGTACATATGTTTCTACCAACTAACAAAAATATTAAATACATACATATGTATTCTGTTGGTGATTCTTGTACAACCTGGAGTTACTTAATTTAACAGTACAATTTAACTATCAAATTATATAACATGTTGAACACTGGTTTATAAAGTATAAAACACATTGGTTTCACTAAATGCGGTTGTGCAAGAATATTTGTATATTATATTTTTATAAGTTAAACTTTTTAAAGACTATGTTGATTTTCTACTCATATACGATTAAATAGAAATATTATATGTTGTAAAAATTTTGGAATTTTTATTTTTATTTGAAAACATAAAAATCTAACAAAAAATAGTATTTTTAAATTCCACAGTTATTAAAGTGAATTATGAACATAGGTATTTTAATAAAGAATAGAAACTATATTACCTACTTATTATTTTAAATCTATAATTAACTCAACAAAAAAATAAACACAATTTACAAGTAACACAATAAATTATTATTCTTTAATTTAATCTTTCCATAAACATGATTCGTTGCATAAAAATTAATTAATATTTTTAATTAAAATTCAATTTTAAAATACAAATTTACATATATTATAAACAATTTCTCCTCAAAGCCAACAGAATGACAGAATGTTTTTACACAGACATTACATCGCCGGTATGTGTTCTTTCGTGAGTTTTGAGGTAAGATTGTATACTAAAACTTTGTTTACAGACATCGCATTTATCATAGTATCATTCTGCATAGATATACATAATATTGTTTTAATGATTTGATACATTTTTTTTAAGATTTTAGGGGTTTTTGTTAATATGTACGCAATCTGCGAAAACATAGTTTTCCGGAAATTAAAGAAAAACTGTAGTGCCGAGTTTGTTTTTCGTTTAATATGTTATGGATACATATAAGTTCGAACAACTGGCAAATTTTCAACTTGAAGGAATTAAAATTACGGCTAAAAACCCCAAAAAACTTGTACCCCCCTCCCCCTAGGGAGATGGATGGGAAATGGGTATAATTTAAATTTGATACAACTGACGTGTGAGGGCATACCAAATAAATATTCCTAACAAATTTCAACTCGATCCGACTCTTTTTCTCGAAATTATAGCCAGTAAATTTCTAACTTAAAAACTCATACGGGTTTTTTTTTTTTTTTAATTTCGACTGTGTAGAAGTAAACTTTTTCGACTTTTACCTCCCCAGAGTACCAACTAGATTAAATTTGTGATTTATAGAGTTGCTACTCGAAGGAATTGGTCCAGTATAAAAAAAGTTACAGTGTATACAGATAAAAAAAAAACACATCATACCTTCGCAGCTTTGTATCGAAGCTAAAAGCTGCATAAAAAGCAAATTCCAATAGTTTTATTATTGTTATACATTATAATAAAATATTATTCATGGTTCTTTTGGCGTTACGTTTTATACATGCACGGTTATTCTATTGACCAGAGTCCTTATAATATACGTTTTATACTGTACCTAATATTACGCTGCAACCTTGTGTTCAGTTTTAAAAAATTTTGTAATGCTGTATGACGAATGAGTACGGTGTAAAGAAATAATATGTCATTTGATGAATTTTATCGTAAATTGTTAAAGCATTAAAAAAAAAAAAAAATTGTTCAACGTTTAATGCGCGTATGACGTCGTCTCGTACCGTACTGCAAGGTCATCCGCCATGGTGAAGTCAAAACGGTAGCGTGCGTTTCGCCGTAATAAATCAATAATAACGCTCGGTACCAGCTGAGGGAGTCCAATATGCATTGTTGCTATTGCAACACCCTCGCCACCACCACAACCCCCAAAACGTCACGTAGCATTTTATACCATCGCCGCACATAAAAATAAACATTACACTCATAAAACGTTATGGATTTGTATTAAACAAAAACGTTTGTAATTTAATAATAAATTAAGTTAGATTTTGTGTGATACATTATATTAATAAACATTAAGTATATTAAATTTGTTTTTATTATAATACTCATTCTATCAAATACTAGTTAACTCAATGTTAAATTTATAAGTATTTAATAATTTTATATTACGTATTAGGTAATATTGGCTGAGGGTGAACCGTGAAGTGGTGTGACGCCACTGTTCGGATTGTCTCTTGGTTTTAGGCGTATAGTGTGCAACCCAAGTTTCATCTCCAGTAGAAATACACTTGAGACAATCATCACCCTTCAGTTCATAGCGTTCCAAAAACTCTTTGGAGGTCTGCACTCGATTTCACGGATTTGGCGCGGGTTCTCCACTTGGCGGAAGACTCGATCGACATGTTTCACGAGAAAAATTCCTGTGACCACAGTTTTTGACGTACTGAACTCGTTCTGGTCTTGTTTTGAAGGGGAAAAGATAAGCTAAACGGAATTGTGGCCAATATAGCAAAAAAAAATTTCTACGGCCTTGGGGGAGGGGGGACTTGTATTGGGTTGTATCTTTACTCTCCGGACGTCCTTGGTGCGATATCTTATCTATAGACGTTATTCAATGATAACCAATTATAAAGATGAAAGCATGATTTTTTTCTTACTTGTCTGTCTATCTGTTTATCGTATCTGGGTAATAATATTTATTGATACAAAACTAATTTAGTTTGTGTCGTGCTTCAGTCGGCTTATGTATTATTATGTAGTATGTATTTACGAGCGTCAGGCGTGTAATATTTTATACCTAACCTAACCAGTTTAAGAGCAAAAAAAGTCTCAGAGTCATGATTTAATTTATTTATACTAAAAAGCCTCAAGCTCAAATAGAGCAGCTCGGATAAATGTATTTAAATATGCAATTATATGGGTGATTCTCTGAAACCAAGGAATTTTGACATAATTGTTTCACTTAAAGAAAAGTCAATTTTTTTACAATATTTTTTTTGTTTCTGATTAAGCCACGAGGTTCACATAAAGACCTTTAATGTCCTTCATAGAAATTCTTAGTTTAGCAGAAAATTTGAATTAAACAAATTGTCATTGTGAGGGACTGAACGGCAGTGTGAAGGACTGAGGAAATTATTCAAACAAACGAACAAATTTGTTTAATTAACAAACATAATACATAACAACATAATACTGTTATTGACAAATAGTAAGTTATTAGTTATCACAATTTTAATTTGTATTCTACCAAAACTCTGAACAAGACCGAGTACCGCGCGATGACGAGTGAAAAAAAACGCAGCCTTGAACTTTCACTTAATAATACAACACGATATAGGAAAATATAAAATTTAATAATTCCAGTAACCATGTATATCAGTGTGCTCATTTTACAAATATTCAATGATGTACGGTAATTTAGAGTTCATCCTCATTATGGTTCCTAGCAAACTGGTTTAGGTTAGGTCGGAGGAAATGGCATGTATACCACTATCGATCCGGTATTCGTCAATTCCGCCCATTTTGGGCAACTACCTATATTGTATACATCTATTGCGCCGGTGGAATTAAGGTGGTATACTAAAAAATATAAATCAACAGCGCCGGGGTTATATTATAGATTAAATGTAATATAGATAAACAACGCGTATGGAACAGCTGGAAGCTCTTTTTTAGTTAGTTTTTCTGTCAATAAGGCTCAGAATGGATTTCAAACATATGCTTTTTTGTGGATCATATATAATTTATTCTGGTTTGAGCTATGCCACACGTTTCCACGTTTCCACCACCCTTCCCAACATTGATCGCTCCTAGTGTCCTAAATCTACACTAAAATATTTGTGTTATATGCGTTTCCCATCATAACATGGACATTATTTATCTATAGTACATTTAATGTATAGTTATATACATCAACTGCGCCAGAGTTTGTTTTTTTACTTGTGATTTTTAATTTAAGTTTTCAACGCTATTCATTCGTATGTATGATTTAAGTTAAATTTTACTTAAGGCGTTAAGCCTGTGATCGCCTTCTAGACTTTAGCCAGTAAACCTAGGATTCTTTTAGTTTAGCGTAGCGAGCGAAGCCATCGAGTTACAAAACACTCGGTGGCCGACCGTACGATAGTAGATATCAAAATATGGGCGCATACTAGTTGCATCTGGGAAACTACGAATTGCATCCGATCCTTATCGTAACTAAAAAGGTTAATCTACAGTAGTTGCCTTTCAGGCTTAGTATATATAAATATGAATTGCATCCGAAAAAAATTATTATTAGTTGCATCCCGCTAAAGAAACAGGGGTTCTAAAACAACGCTAAAATTGTATTGAACTTTTCTAATAAAACTGACATTATCGTTAAAAAAGTACTACCATCTACGTTATTTTCCATTAATTCCGTGTGTAATACTTTTGCCGGTCTTTCGCACGATGTAATTTTTACTGGTTTTCCTTTTTCACTAATCATTTCATCAATTTCATGTTCCATTTTAGCAAATAATAAAAAATTATAAAAGCACTCGACGCGTTCACTCTCAGTTTTCTACTCGACGATTGCAACGATAACACAATTTTTATCATTAACTTAAGCTTAAACCTAAGCTAACATGCATTTTTACGGTACAAAAACTAAGTTGGCATTCTTAATACAGCTCTTTTAAAAATTGTCTTGCAGGAACGTTACAAGCTAAAATATGTTTAAACGCTTATTTTTTTTAAAGTTTTAATATAAAAGACATCGTTTCGGCGCAGTTGAAATATACTCTATCGATCGATACCCCGTTGTACCACAACTCACACAGTGACATTTCTAAATAGGGGAGGTGTTTTTGCAGGACCCTGTATAATAATATTCCTTTGTGATGACGTCGCTTGTGTGTATGCACAAAGTAAACACACCAACATAAAATCACGTGAACTGTGCATGCAGCATGCACAATGGTCATCCAGAAGCGACGTTTTTCAATGTACTTTATATTAAAAATAGAAACAACTGAAGGTCTGAATATTAAACTGAAGATAAATCTAGAGTCGGACTAAAACATATACGTTTTTTTTTTAAATCTGTCGTCAAAGTTTTTTTTATATTAAGGAAAAACCAAAAATAGAGAAGATTATAAACTTTGACTGTTGTAAATTTCTAGGTCACTAATGTCTATGAATCAACTATGTCTGAATGAATCAACAGTTGACAAATATTTGAAAATATTTTCATTTTATTATTACGATATAAGTAACAATGGAAACAAATTATTATAGACAGGCGTTGTCTCATCACCGTAATCGGTCCAGAAAAAAACTATAAAACACTAGCACATAAAAAATATAAAATTATGTGAGATTTACTTACCATTTACTTTTAACAGAACCGCTGATAATTGATGATTCAAAATTTGCTCGTTGTCGACCAAATTATAAAGCACCCTAGTAGACATAATTTCGAAATTTTCGCGGCTAACAGACTGGCTAACCGGGGTATGCGTGCGGCTCGGTTAACATTTAATAACAGACTGTCGGGCACTGCCCTGGGAGACTGCAGCCAAAACCCAAGGGAAGGGTCAAGGTGGTGTTAAATTTCATAAAAGGGCTCACCCCTTCCGGTTTTCGTTATCGCGTGGCAACCTTTCGTCCTCATCCTATTCCGTAAGACTACCGAATCGGTGTACGCGTGGTGTTTAAACAAAACATTAAAAAAAAAACTCTCAAAGGGCTAATATGAGGGTTAACGCAACCTCAGATGATAGGACTGGATCAAAAGACTGACAACATTTTAAAATAATATCAACTCAACATAAATAATAACACATTCTATTAAAACTTATTACATATATTTGAATTTTTTTTCAAATTTTTATCTACTACCTGGTGAGTTATAAATTAAAAACAGCTTCCTTAGTGCAGAGTAAACGTTCTTAACTGGCTTTAACTGTTTGTATTTTTTTATCTAAGATATTTTTTGAGCTATACTACTGGATATTCATAGAAATTTTTTTTAATTAAATTGTAAAACACATTCGGCATAAAAAAAATCGAACAATATTTTGGAGTACAGCTCGGTCATAGTTCCCTTATATAAAATAGTTCCCTTATATATGGTTTCCTTATATAAAAGTAATAAAATTGTAAATATTTAGTTAATATACTTAATCTGACAACTTTCCAAGAACTTACAGCAGTTTAAAGTTAAATTTGGAACAGTTAAAATTGTTTTTATAATTTTCAAAAGGAAGTAGTAACCTTGTAGTTATTTATTTGTTATGAATATATACACAATTACATAATATTTTAAACACGTAGCAGTCTTAACTTATAGCCCCTACTAATAGTACAAAAAAGGAAGTTCCCACGAAAACGATGTATTAGTATTCTAACATCCGAGTTCGGTCTCTCCTGAAATAGCCATTTCGGGTTCACGTTGAAAGAAATCTCTTATTCGCGTAGATGACTGTCAAACGCCGAACATAGAAACCGCCTGGAGTGCACAAGCGGAAACCACTTCTCAAAGTACATTTATATACATTGATAGTATATCTGTGGTCGATAGGGATAAAACCAAGTTGTATACAATAATACGAAAATGAAATACTTTTATATGAAGAAAATATGTAATTTTCACTGATATAATTCAGTAATAGCTTTTCCATTGTTGACAATTGAAATTGAAATAAACTGTCGTCATAGTAAAAGTTTAAAACTCTTTCAGTTCACGCGCGTCGTTCATCGAA